CCGTGTACTGATAGGGAAAGAGCTCTAAGATAAATTAAAAAACAAAGTATACAGAACAGGTTATATGGTATGCTGCCATTTACGTAAAAGAAGTAGAAACATAGTATATAATGATGTTTCCATATATTTGATCCAAAAACTGAGAAAGGATACCCACAAAACTTGTAAAAGGTGATCATTTTAGGGGAGAGTTTGGCATTTGGTTGGATCAGAAACTGGGTAGGGGTAAGGTTTTTCACTGTGTTCTTTTCTCCCTCCCTCCTTCTTTCCCTCCTTGATTTTCATTTTTGAAATGTGAGTGCAGTACATATTAAAAATTAGATCAATGAAAAAACAATCAGATACCACCCCTCCCCCCATTTTGGTCCTATGCTAAGTCTCAGGCAAAGCTTTGAGGTAGTTTTAATTACCGTCTCTGCAAAGTCTCATGGGATTTTCAGTTCTTTCTGGAATGTAATCTTCTTAGGTATAGGCTCCTCAGGCCCCCTAGGTGAAGAAAATTCTTTTCACTGGGTGATTTGCCATTTCATTTGGGCAGGTTCTCTGTCCTTTCTTAGACTGTATGTGAAATAATCAGTAATTGTTAAGGCTGGTTCTATCACTAAGTGAAGGTCTGTTTCTTATCCTGTTGTATAGGTTATTTGTGGGATTAGTCTTGCTGGTAGGCATTGGGTTCCTATGATTAGTGAGCTTTTCGCCTTCAGTTAATATCTAATATTCATGCTCAACTTAATGTGGTCAAAACAGAACTCTTGATAATGAGTCCCAACTTCAGGGCTCTGTGAAACAGGAAAAAAGACACTAATTATGGTTAGTTTTTTTCAGTTAAGGAAAATGAGACATTGAGAAGTTGTGACTTGTGAGAAGTCACCTAGAAGATAGGAATAAGGCAGGGGGAGGTACAGCCGTGATCTCGTGGGTAGAGCGCTGACTCCCAGACAGTGCCACCTGTCTTAACCATTGACAGTGTGAATCCTGCCATGTTGATGTAGGGACTTAGCACAGTGGATTGAGCCCCTTCAAATGAGGCTTATTAATTTTTTGGACCTTATGTAATTATCCTCCCAAAGAGATTCTCAAGTTTACTTCAAGGGTGGATTAGTTTGGACATACAGTTTGGGAGCAGTGATCCTACTGTCAGTGTCCACACACAGGATGCAAAGGAATTGCCAGTGATAAAATTGTTACCTTTTGTGTGTGATTTAAGATAGTAACTTGAAGGGAATGCTCATGAAGTCACGCTTATGACCTTGAACTCTTTTAGGTTGCTTTTCCATAATGAGTAGAATACGTGTCTTCTGCAACATTTTTTAGAAGCTTTCTAGATGCCTTGGCTCTAATGCGTTAATTGTATTGCATTTCTACTTTGGTTTCTAAGGTGGGGATGATAATCTTTGCCATCTTCACAGGACTGTTGTGATTATTAAATGGGATGGCAGATGTGAACGTGCTTTTTAAATAAATAAATAAATTTATTTTTAAAAAATCTAGTTGTCACCCTATATTGGCTGTATGATCTTATATATAATCTCTTGTAGATTCAGTGCGCTCATGTATAAAGTGGAAGATAATAATACTCGTTTTTTTTTTTTACATTGTTGAGAGCTAGATGAGATACCTTTTTTTTTTTTTTAATTCATTTTATTTATTTTTGGCTGCGCTGGGTCTTTGCCGCTGCGTGTGGGCTTTCTCCAGCTGCAGCGAGCGGGGACCACTGTTCGTTGCGGTGCATGGACCTCTCATTGCAGTGGCCTCTCCCACTGTAGAGCACGGGCTCCAGGCACACGGGCTCAGTAGTTGTGGCTTGCGGGCTCCAGAGCACAGGCTCAGTAGTTGTGCCGCATGGGCTCAGTTGCTCTGCGGCATGTGGCATCGTCCTGGACCAGGGCTCGAACCCATGTCCCGTGCATTGGCAGGCGGACTCCCAACCACTGCGCCACCAGGGAAGCCCTAGATAGCTTTTTTTTAAAGCACATGGAACATTACTTTCACTGAACTTATTAAACTAACCTCATTTCCTCAAACATACTAATTCTAGTTCAGACATAATCACTTGATATTAATAACATTACCATTTTGATTCTAGTCCTTTTAATGTAAGTTACATTGATAAAGATAAAAATTTAACTCCACAGTTGTTCTAGATACTCTATTTTAGATCCACTGGGATGAAAAATGAGAAAAAACCCACGTAACTGCGTTATCTTATTTCTTGCTTATGTGAGTGTATGGGAACCTCAAAACTCATCAGGTATTTCAAAAACAGTATGCATTTATTCATTTACTCAGTATATTTTATACATACCTACATGGCACTATTATTAGGCTTTGGAATACAAAGATGAAAAAACATAATCCGTGCCTGTATTGGAGGTCATCATTTGTTGAAGGAGACAGATAAATAAGCAGTTGTAATAACAGCATCAAAAGTAGTGTGATAGGTGTCTGCACGGGTAGCCTTGAGAACCCAGAGGAGGTGCCTCCCATCTCTCCTAGATGGGGAATGTGTATATAGGTGTCCAGGTGTGCTTCCCAGGGAAGGTGTCATCTGAGTTGAGTCTGGAGAGAGCCAGAACCTGGAGCATGAAGCCTTTTCTTCCAGGCCAAGAAGATGGAGTTCATTTTAAAATGATGAGGGATCAGTGAATATTTTTATTTAGAGCAACATAAACAGATTTGGAACTTAGGATCATTACCTAGATGCATATCTCCAAGCAGTGGCATCAGCATCAATTTTATTATCCTCTACATTGCCATCATTTATTTAATACCTATTATATATCTGACTCATGTGTATATTATCTCATTTAATCCAGCACCCTTTGAACTACATATTATTGCCATTATTTTATAGATGAGAAAACACTGGGTGATAGAGGTTAATAGAACAGTTAGTGACTGGACACACAAGAGAGAATGTGTTTGATTACCTGTCATTCCACCAGTGGGATGTTAATGGAAGGTAAGATGAGAGATGATGATCTGTTGATCCTTAGTGTTCACTTTGATGTTTCGTATTATGAACATTTCACTTAACTTAGTTAGATTCTAGAATTTAAAGATAACATTCATGCCCTACAAGACAGCTTGTAACCAATGTCTTTTATTTTGTCTGGTGCCCCAGAAACTTTGGTTCATTCTAACACTACAGGGACACATGACTGTTAGACTCATGGAAAGAAAACGTATCCGTATCCAATGTGGAACCACATTTTCTTTTCCTAGAGTTTTTCATCTTGCAGGATTTTTATCCCTATCCTTTAGAACTCTTACAGGGTATAAGCTACTTTATTCTCCATTCCATCTCCTTTTCCTCTGAATAAAATTCTCTTAAGGAAAGATTTGAAATGATACCTCATTAGGATTTGAGATGTTTGAGTTGAATAATTAATTCTTAAAGTCTCATATATAACTTGGGACCTGGCTTCTCAATATGAAGGGTAGTTTGAAACTAGATTTTGTCTTTCTGCTTCATAGTGTTTGTATAGTGTATTGAGGCGATGGAGTGAAAGGTAATCATTCTTAGGAAGTTAAAAAAAAACTGATGATTAATCTAACCACACTCCTCATTAGCTTTCTAAATGCTGATAAAATTGGCGATTTGCCCCTTCATTCTTAGCTCTTTAATTGAAAGTACAAATAAAGTACCTCTTCTCTCCTAGAAATATGGCATGGCAGCTGATTAATTTTAAGAAATATTTGTATGTAACTAGAAGGGGTACAACAAAGATAGGGTATGCACAGTTTTGAGTCGCTCTACTCACCTTTTACTCCTTTTATTTCAGCTCAATCTGAAATCGAAGTTTCTGTGTCTGCAAGGAATATCAGAAGGTTACTAAGTTTCCAGCGGTATCTTAGATCGTCACGCTTTTTCCGTGGTACCAGCGTTTCGAATTCTCTAAACATTTTAGATGATGATTATAATGGACAAGCCAAGGTGTGTATAGCTTTTTCAAGAAAACATTAATTCTTAGACAAGTTTAACGAAGGCTTGTTTTTCCCATGTGGTACTGATTTATAGAGCCTTTTTTTTGTATGTGAAATCAGTTGAACCCATTTTTCAGGTTTTCCCTTTAGAGCAGCTAGCTGTTCATCCTATAATTAGGTATTACAGAGCAAGGAACATTTCTGAAGTAACTAAAATAATGAAAATGTTTTCAATTTATTATAACAGTAAGTAGATCAATAGAAAGTTAAGCTATAAGATCACACTTAACGCTGGGAAGAATATTATGGATTGTCTGATCTAATTTCTGTATTCTGTACTTAACAGTATGGCCTTAAAAAAAAAAAAAAAAAAAGAACACTATGGCCTAAATAGTATAAGGAACTTGGTTGAGCTCCCCCAGCTGGTTAGAAGTAAACGCAGCACAGGAAGACTCATGACTTTCAGTCTAATGATTTTTCATAATCTCTTGTATCAGTGGAAGGTTTAGATTTTTTAAAAATTAAACTCGGTGATTGTGTGCATTGTTTTCTTTATATAGTTTAAAAGAAGTATGTTAATGAAGGTGGAAGTTAGTTGAGGTTGTTTTTGACCAAATGAGGATTTTTTAATAATCTTATGTTTCTAATATTTGTAAAAGTATTCTTTGACTTAATACTTACAGGCCAGATGTTGTCAGTTTGTGTAGATAGGGTCGGGGTACCCACTCTACGGTTATACTAAAGTGAAAAAATTTGCCTCTCAGTTTGATAAAACAAATCAGTGGAAAAGTACTGATGCTTTCCTTAAATTTTAAAAAGTTCACAAGTTTTGCTTTTTAGAATGAGAATATTATGTGTTTCATTGGTTGTTAGTATTATAATCTCAACCAGTAGTACCTTAATGTTGCTTATGTCTGTTAGGTCATAAATGTATACGACAGTGAAGTTTTGGATACAAAATAAACATTTTTTCTTGAAAATAAAGTCCACAAAATTTTCAGGTTACAAATATATGGTGTAAAAATATCTGTTTGAGTTTTAGGGTTGTGGGATTTATTTACTGGGCTGAAATAACCATCAACCTAAAAATTAATGTTAAGTGCTATTGACTATTTTATAAGGCTATTTAAAGAATATAAATAAATACCCATAAATTGGGAGTGTATTTTCAGAAAACGAATAACAAATAATTTGAGTGTAGTATAGTGTAGGTGTCTGGTGCCTAGGTTCCAGAATCAGACCACCTGACTTCAGATCCCAGCTCTGTTACTTTCTTGCTGAGCAAGTTAGAACTTTTTGCCTCTTTCCCCATCTATAAATGAGGATTGAAAACAATGCCTGCTTGATAGTGTCGGTATGAAGAGTAAGAGTGAGTAAAGAGTAAAGCACTTTTAACAGTGCCTGGGATATAGCAGGTGTTCAGCTATTATAATTTACTTTTATTCGATTTTAAAAATCTGGTTTCTAGACCATGCAGTGTATGAACCACACTTCTGTGATGTTAAGTTATATTAGAATTCTTGACCGTTCATGGGAGTATAGGAATAAGTCGAAGGGAACACTAACCTTACCTATACATTTATTAACTGGAAAACAAAATAATAATTCTTTTTTCAAATGGAGTTTATCCCTCTGGACATGTTTTGGAGCCGTTTGGAAAGGTCATGATTGAAGGGAGAATGATACTTAACATTCCTTAAAGTAAATCAACCACTTCCCATTTCCATTAACTCCTGTGGACTATCTACAAAAGATAGAGAATGTTACTGAAATTAAATTACAGTAGGAATGTTTGGTTTTCATTTCAGTGTATGCTGGAAAAAGTTGGAAATTGGAATTTTGATATCTTTCTATTTGATAGACTAACAAATGGTAAGTGGAGAATTTGACTCTTACTCAAGTTAATGTATTCCTGAGATTGCTGCACTGATGGTACAGCCGCTGGTGGGCTGCTGCTCTCATTTACTTAGGTTAGGAGCCCTCTGCTGGCAGAGGGAGCATTGTTGTGTTGCTTCTTTAGTGAGTGACTTGTAAGCCTAGAGAATCAATCTAAAATTTTATTTTTTGATTATTACTCTAGTAGTAATCAAAAGTAACCACTGTCATCATCACTTGGGCGTCCCTTATTAATGCTACTGATGTTAATAACCCAGGGTGAACATCGCTATCTCCTCGTTCTTTTTTTTTTGGTTTCTTTTGTACTGTAGTCACAGTGACATCCTCTGATCTTGTATTCCAGTTTTGATAGCCCCAGATATGTGGTAGATTAATGACCTTTTGAGAGATGGCTTTTCTTCCAGCTCTGGCTCCTAGGCTTTCCTTTCTCTGCTCACTTGAGAGATGGCGTGTTAATGATCAACAGTGGTTCCTTCTGGCATTGCTTCTCCATGGCGGGGTCGGGTGGGTTGGGAAGAGCTCGTGGCTTCTTGAGGGGGTGTATCAGAATCTACGGAAAGTATGAGTACTTTGAAAAAGACCGGTGATTCTTATATATATTTTTTTTAGATGTTGGGGGTAGGAGTTTATTAATTTATTTTTGCTGTGTTGCGCGTCTTCGTTTCTGTGCGAGGGCTTTCTCTAGTTGTGGCAAGTGGGGGCCACTCTTCATCGCAGTGCGTGGGCCTCTCACTATCGCGGCCTCTCTTGTTGCGGAGCACAGGCTCCAGATGCTCAGGCTCAGTAGTTGTGGCTCCCGGGCCTAGTTGCTCCACAGCATGTGGGATCCTCCCAGACCAGGTCTCGAACCCATGTCCCCTGCATTAGCAGGCAGACTCTCAACCACTGCGCCACCAGGGAAGCCCCAAGACAGGTGATTCTGATCTGTTTACCTCTTTCTGAGTCTTGTTTTGCTTTGCGGGAAGGGTTCATTTTTCTTTATTCTGTTTGGGAATGGGAACAGAATTCCCTTTGAGAATCATTCTTTATGTAGTGTAAACTTTTTGGCATTAAAAAAAAAAAAGGTGGGCTTCCCTGGTGGTGCAGTGGTTGAGAGTCTGCCTGCTGATGCAGGGGACAGGGGTTTGTGCCCTGGTCCGGGAAGATCCCACATGCCGCAGAGCGGCTGGGCCCGTGAGCCATGGCCGCTGAGCCTGCGCGTCTGGAGCCTGTGCTCCTCAATGGGAGAGGCCACAACAGTGAGAGGCCCGTGTACCGCAAAAAAAAAGGTGGTACCTGTTGTCCAACTAGTCTTTGCCCCTTTTGCCTTAATATGTTTTAAATGAAGCAGAGTGGAAAGTTCACTGAGAGGAAGTCAGTTCTGATGGTTGAGAATGAAATAAATATGTGATTCACTGCTATACTTTGAAATCACTTTCTTTTTCTTATTTTACTTTGGAATAAAGCTCCTTTCCTAAGAAAGCCAAATATAGGAAATGGACAAGCAAATAGAACTGTATTCATCTTGAGAATAGCATGGGTCTAGCTTTTTAGTATCACTACATCATTCGCTCTGAGCTGTATGGCCAGGCATAGTGAGGATACCTTTGTGATCACCTTCTAGTTGTCTGTGGACTGCTGACCGAAAATAAACTGGAGCGACCCAGGCACAAGTGTAAAGACAGTAAAGTTCTCCTCAGTGGTGGAGCCTCCCTCCCGCTTCCCTGCCTTTTGTTTTTCCCCCTTTTCTGTTCCTACTCACCTCTCTTTTGCCCTCTGGTGACTAGTGTCTGTTCCTCTCCCTGCCCCCACTTGGGCCTGTCCACACAGAAAAGGCTCTAATATCATTTAGGCCTATCAGAGGCTCTTAATATCAGCTGTCCTTCCTTGCAGCCATCCCCTTTTTGAAAATATAGGTGCCTCAGCTTCTTCTAGATCTGGGAAGCTCCCCTTTCCTAATGCAACACAAATATTACTTTAGTCATTATCTCAGGATAAACATAGATAAGACAGTGCTGCCCTTAACACCTTCAAGGTCTAGCCTCACATAAACACTAAGAGCTCATAGCCTATTCTTAGTCTCCTGGGACACTTGTCACCCACTGAAATAGTTGATTGTTTTTCTCTAGATTTTATTTTTAAAAAGAACATACCTGCCAGTCAGGGGGCGTGGTGATAAAAGTGGAATGAGGGTGACAGTGCAGCATGGGCAGAAGTAATAGCCACTAGTCTACATCAGTTAACTTAGCACTTGGCTTTCCTTTAATCATCTCACTCCTTTTTTGTGGAGAAGGTGGCCGAATGGTTTCTTCTTGGAGTTGTTAGGGGTTAGTAGAAACGACCCATGGTTAGCCACCCACCTGTGCTTTTACAGATGGTGATATCTATGTTCAGTTCACTACAGTCACCCAAAAGTTACAGGAATTCTGTACATGAAGAGATATTATTGGGAAACAAGTGGGCAGGAGAAAATTCCTTTAACTTGCATTATTGAATTGGATCTGCTTTCCTTTCAAAGCTGCTTAGCCTGAAATGAATTCTGGATGATATACGTACATAGTATCCAAGTATATAGTTTTCCCTTCTTGCTGTCGATCCGGTGTGTTCTGTGTTTCTTCCTCTGATGATTTCCCAAATGATACTGTGAGGAGGGCAGGGAAGAAACAAAACTCTGATTCCCAGCTTGTCCACTGCAAAGCGGAAAGTAGTTACTATCTGGTAGAGGATACATTTGATGCTGCCTTTGCAGGGATGAGTTAGGTTACATCAGATAGCAAGATAGGGCTTGTCTCCCCCAAAAGTCACCTGGCGCATGAGGACCCTCGATGCCAGGCCTGTGTTATAGCTGTAGCCCAGTCCTGCCAGCTCCCAAGTATTGAAGAGAATCACATCCTAAAACCTGTCGAGAGCCGTAACACCTTAGGCAGATCCGTCCTTTCATGTATCTTTATAGAAAGGGTAACTTTTTTCCAAGAAGGTGTTTCCATTCTCATGTAAAATAACTTGTTCTACGCCTGTTTCTTGTTTAACATATCAGCTAAGCATCATCACTTGCTTTGTGTTCTTATTTACTGGTATTAAGTCAGTTGGTATCTTATAAACTGAAAATGAGAAAAAATGTCGCATATACCGTTTTTCATTTTGATATGGGTGGTACACTTCGTTAGATTGGTTCTTGTCAGATTCCCCTAGGGTTCTTGGTGCAGGACATTAACATGCGTTTCTTAATGCCATTTGCCTGAATTCCAGATGAGGGTATTTTACCATTTGATTGCAGCTTTCTTAAAACTTATTCTAGATCCTAGAAATTGGTAATTTATTTCATTAGGTTTGGGAAACAATTTGGGGAGAATCCTGTGATTACCTAAATATACAGAATAAATATACATTCTTTTTTTTAAATTGAGACATAATTGGCATATAACATTATGTTAGCTTCAAACATACAGTGTAATGATCTGCTATTTGTATGTACTGCAAAATAATTGCCACAGGGGGTCTAGTTAACATCCGTCAGCATACATAGTCATGGTTTTATTCATTATGATGAGAATTTTTAAGACCTTCTCTCAGCAGCATTCAAATACACAATGCACCCATTTTGTCCCCTTGCCCCACCTCTGACAACCAACCGCCGGTCTGTTCTCTGTATCTGTGAGCTCAAGATTTTCTTGTTTTTGTTTTAGATTCCACATATAAGTGAGATTATACAGCATTTATCTTTCTCTGTCTGACTTACTTCACTTAGCACAGTTCCCTCAAACTCCATCTATGTTGTCGCATATGGCAAGATTTCCGTCTTTCTTACGGCTGGGTAATATTCCACTGCATATACACCACGATTTCTTTATCTGTTCGTCCATCGATAGGCCCTTAGGTTGATTCCATGTCTTGGCTGCTGTAAATAATGCTTCAGTGAAGATGGGGATGCAGGTATCTCTTTGAGATAGTGATTCCATCTCCTTCAGATATATACCAGCAAGTGGGATTGCTGGATCATAAGGTAGTTCTACTTTAAATTTCTTGAGGAGCCTCCATGGTTCTCCATAGTGGCTGCACCAGTTTACAGTCCCACCAACAGTGCACCAAGGGTTCCCTTTGCCTCACATCCTAGCTAACACTTGTTATCTCTTGTCTTTTTGATAATAGCCATTCTGACAGGTGTGAGTTGATATCTCATTGTGGTTTTAATTTGCATTTCCCTGAGGATTAGTGATGCTGACCAGCTTTTCTTGTACCTGTTGGCCATTTGTATGTCTTCTTTGGAAAAATATCTATTCAGATTCTCTGCCCATTTTTTAAAACCAGATTGTGTTTTGAATATACATTCTGAAATATCTCTGTATATGCCCTAAGAAAAGTTGGTTGTTACAGTGGTTATAACAGAAACATAGCTCACTTCTTCACAAATGATTCTAGACCACATGGGCTCATGTTTGTACCAGTAGAGTGTCACTAGGATTTGAATGCATTTTTACATTTAACTCCTTAAAGGTAAAAGATTTGAAATGGTTTTTTCTTTCTGTTTGAAGGTGATGTGTCGGATGGTTTTTAGGAAGACTCTCTTGGTTGCCACATCCTTCCCAGTGTTGCTTATGCAAACCTTGTTCCAGTTAGTTTACTTTTTTCCTCATCTGTGGGCTTCTAAACAGTTGTTCAGGCAGTTTCGGATAATTAGTTTAGCCTGATAGTTCTTTGTAATTCTCCATAAATATTATTACTACAAATTTTCATTGTGGGACTAGTTGGGTCTCTTTTACATGTTTGTAAGAATCATAGATTTTTTTCGAGAATACCGGAATCATGTTTATGTTATCGTTATTGTCTGAACGCTGGCAGTAATTTATGAGCTCACACACCTTTAAAACCTACAGTCTGTTTAATTGTTAAATAACATAGCATGTGCAGCCAAGGCGCTTTGCTCTGGGACACCCCCATTCAGAGCAGCGTGGTGGAGGGATGGTTATGAGGAGGTAAGTGCACATGTTTTAGGTGCTTTGGGAAATTGAATTAAACTTATTCAGTGTGGACAATTTTCAAAGTTTTCTATCAATTCTAATTATTTTGGTGTCTTTAAAAAAAAACAAACTCATCTATTCAAAAATGTTTATCTTCCAGTTGTTTGGTTTTGGAAAAATAAAACCAAAGCATCTTTTTTTCTTAGAATAGAAAGAACATGTGATATTTAAAGTTCTAAACTGGTAAAATTAAAATAAGTTGTAAATTTTAGATAGACAAAAAGTAGGACTTAGTACTCGTTATGTTTTATATTCAAACCTATATTTGGAAGCACAGTGTGGTTACATTAGCTTGTATCCCGCTAATATCTCCTCTTCTTCCTTTGTAGGAAATAGTCTAGTAAGTTTAACCTTTCATTTATTTAGTCTTCATGGATTAATTGAGTACTTCCATTTAGATATGATGAAACTTCGTAGATTTTTAGGTAAGTGATTCTAACCCATTTAACAGTAATAAGATTTATACTGCTACTTGTTTAACTTTTCTCTCAATTACATCAGCTGTTGCTCTAAAACTAATCACCCCAAAGTTAGTGGCTTAAAAAAAACACATTTATTTAGCCCCGAGTCTGCAGGGCTGTGGAGCGCTGCTTCTGGCCTGGCTGAGCTTGTCTGTGCCACTGCCCTTGACACCCAGTGAGCTGCACTGCGGCGTCGTGGGCCTCAGCTGGGATGCCGGGCCTGGCCCGGCTCAGCTCTACGTGATCTCCTGTTAAATTAAAAGGAGGCAGAGGAGTTTGGCACCGTAATAGAGCCACTTTAAAAACAAAAAAGGAAAAAGAATTATTTTACAACAAGCCAAGCTTGTTCAGAGAGCAGTGGCCAGTTGGCAGGAGAGCGCTGGCACATCCAGACCCCCGAGCCCAGCCCGGACACTAGCCCGCCTTGCTGTCCGCCGCATCACAGTGGCCAGAGCCCGTCAGGTGGAGGGGGGGGGGCACACCTCTGAGTGGGGAAGCTGCGAAGGCCCAGTGCCGCTGGGGGCTGGGTCAGCTGTGCTGTCAGTCTCCCACGTCAGCCCTGGCTTTCTCACAAAGATGACACAGTTTCTGTCCTTTCCTAACTTTTTGAAGGCTAAAACCGTAAAAGATCCAGGTACATTGCACTCGGGTCTCCTCTTTTTCTGATCCCAGAAACCTCGACAGTGAACGTCAGAGACTATTTTGAACGTGTTTTAATGTGCAGGGTGGTATTTAAGAGCACTGTGCTAGGAGAAAATTAGAGCCTTCACCGAATAAAGAAACACGTTAGAAGAGAACTAGCATGAAGATTCTTACTTTTGTAACGAAGGTGATAATATTTTCTTTCCTCTTAATTAGCAAACTAAGATAAATGTATTACCTAAGACGTTGAGAAACTTCTAATGCATATTCATTTACAAATTGTATGCCTGCAGTACTGTACTAATATCTGTTATAGAACACATAAATAGATATTAATACGGGTATTTAGAAAACTATTTTAAAGGATGGGATCAAAGTAAATACAGAATTCTAATGCTCTTCACCTCTCACCAGTGAGTCCTAGCTCACCACCTTGGGGTTGGCTCACCATACCTGGAGATCACTGGATTGAGTGTTAGGCTGTGAGGGCCACAGTGCAGGTTTGGTGGCAGTGGGGACGGCTCTACCCCCTCATCCTAGTCTACTTTTTCATGGTAGCATAATACAGACACTGAGCAGAGAAAGCAGGATTAACAGATCATCCTTCCCTACTACTGAAAAACTAATTGCAGATCTGAAACTCACCTCACTGATGGAGTATCCCAAGGATCGTGTTCACATTCCCCAAGATCTGTATTATTTTAGCCTCATAAAGATTTTTGTCTTCTGATGAATTCCTAGTTCCTAGAACAGTATCTACTACAATGAGTATTTGTTGAATGAATTGTACAGTTTTTATTAAACTGAGAAACTCTTTTTAAACTAAAAAAAAAAAAGTCAGAGGAGTGTGGCACAATGATAGATTGACATTTTAAAAGAGAAAAAAAGGAAAAAATAATTTTATAATTTTGACATGAATACCTTCATGCCATTTAAAGAGTCTCAAACAAGAGTCAAAGTGGTGTTGATGCCTTGGGTATACATGTGAGTTATGATAAGTGATTATCATCTCCCCGAATCGGAACAATTAGCTGATAGCCACGTGAGAAGGGTAAGTGGAGAATGCATAATTGTTGAAGTTTTTGTATTTGTACATGCCTCCTGTTTGCAGTTAAATCTGAGGTCTTTTTTCTTTTCTTTGACGCAGTTATGATCCAGGAAGATTACCACAGTCAAAACCCTTACCACAATGCAGTCCACGCTGCAGATGTTACTCAGGCCATGCACTGTTACCTAAAAGAACCTAAGGTGAGGTGTTGGCATTTACAGTCAGTGAAAATCCTGAGAAAATGCCATTGATTTAATTTCAAATACTTTTCCTTAAGTTAATGATTTAATCAGACTTAAAATCAGAAGCTTCCTTCACAAGAATGAGATGTAGCTGGATCAGGTTTCCAGGTGTGGCTGTATTTGTAAGTTGACAGCTAGAGAGCTGGGGTGATTGTCGAGAATGAGGCTGGAGAAGCCCAAGTGAGCGTCAGGCCGTACGGCCTGGCCACACATGTCAAGTCACCTGGCGTTTACGCTGAGCTCCACGAGGGCAGGGATGACACTCGTCAGATCCCGTGATGAATAGGGAGCTACGGAAGGGAAGCAGGAGACTTTACAAAGCTATCCTGGCTGTGGGGGGAGAATAACTCAGACAAGACCAGAAACATGCACGCTGCCTGTCAGGAGCTGTTTCGATAGCCTTGGGGCAGGAGAGAGGCAGACGCTTGGTGAGATCTCTTGGGAATCAGAACATGGAGGATGTGGTGTCTGGATGCATCTAGGGGAGTGAAATAGGGAGAGGAGTCAGTGGAGACTGTCCCCGGCAGCTGAGTAGCAGGTGGGAGTCGCTGTGAGGGAGAGAATGTCGAAAGGGAGGGAGGGCTGGCAGAGATGATGAGCTCCATTGTGGGCACGTGCGGTTAAATGTATTCGCGCCATATCCGAATGCAGGTGTCTAGTAGAGAGTTGGAAAGGAGTCTGAAGCATAGCAGAGAAACCAGAGTTGGGGACCACCAGCTGTAGATGTTAATGGAAGCCGTGTTTGCCCATGGGCGTTTCCTGTTCCTGGAGGCTGTAAAGTTACATCTGCCACCCTTAGCCCTACTTCTAAACTCGCCCCCCCAGGGATCTTAGCCGGATGTTGGGAGGGAAGGAGGCTGACTGAGCCAGTTGGTGCTAGTTGATGCCAACTCTGAGAATATAGCCATGTGGTTGCCAGTCTCCTGATTTTTCAAGAGATGTGGAGTATGTGAAAGTACCCCAATTTTTAAAGTATATTATGACTTAAAAAAAATAATTAACTTTATTGTGGCATCATTTATATGCAGTAGTAAAATGCATACATTTTATGTGTGTAGTTTTGATAAATGAATACTCCCATGCACCCCAATTTTTTAATTAAAGTTTAAAACAAGCATTGGGCCAAGCCGAAAGTGTCTCTGTTGAACAGTCTTGCGGGAGAAATTGGTAAGTAATCACCATACAGCCAGGGAAGTGGAATGATGGAGCTAAGTGCCCCGTGGGACACAGAGGAGATAAACCTAGTCCACTGGGGCTGTGAAGGCCTCACCCGCTGGCTGGCCACGCCCAGCCCGAAGCCAGGGCTGGGGAGCGCCGGCACCCAGCAGGACCAGAGGGGCAGAGAGTGCAGGGCGAATGTGGTGCAGACACTGTCTTACCCATGCAGCTCTGGCAACACTAGTTTTAAACACTTTTTGCCTATGTAGCTCTGATCATTCTTATTTTAAACACTTTCCATCATTAACATACTCAGTGAACTCTTCAGTCAAAGCTTCAGTTAAGGATACAGATAAAATCACTAAGATTTAAAATACAGCAGTTCCCTCCTCCCTTATCATAGAGATAAGAAAATAGAAATAGAGTCACTCAGAGTTGACGGTACCTCTTTTACTTCCCGGTCCTTTACATGGCATCGCATTGTCGAGTGTGTTCATTCATTTGTTCTGTCCGTTTTTCCTGGCGCTAAGAATCCAGTGGTAAACAAGACAGGAAAGGTCCCTGGCCTTCAAAAAGTTGCCCTCCCGGTGGGGGGCAGGGGGGCAGTCTTTAAACAGATAAACAGAACTTTGACCTCTACTGTGGTAAGTGCTGCTGTGAAGTCACATGAATAGGGTGATGTGCTGGGGAGTGACTGGGTGGCTGGCGAGAGCTCACAACTTCAGACAGACGGTCGGGAACCATATAAACCGAGAGGCAGTGTTTGAGAAGGAGACAGCCACGGAGAAGAATGCAGGTGCAGAGGGGACCGTGAAGAGAAAGCCCTATATACAGTGTTCAGTGGGAAACCTTCTTCCATTTGTTTGTTTAAACACCAACTTTTATTTTATGGATTGGTGCTGTTATTGGGTTTTTTTTATTGTTGTTTATTTTTGGCTGCGTTGGGTCTTCGTTGCTGCGCGCAGGCTTTCTCTAGTTGAGGCGAGCAGGGGCTACTCTTCCTTGTGGTGCACAGACCTCTCGTTAAAGTGGCTTCTCTTGTCGCGGAGCACAGGCTCTAGGCACGTGGGCTTTAGTAGTTGTGGCATGTGGGCTCAATAGTTGTGGCACACGGGCTCTAGAGCGCAGGCTCAGTAGCTGTGGCACACGGGGCTTACTTAGTTGCTCCGTGACATGTGGGATCTTCCCGGACCGGGGCTCGAACCCGTGTCCCCTGCATTGGCAGGTGGATTTGTAACCACTGTGCCACCAGGGAAGTCCAAGCAGCACTTCTAAAATCTTTTAATTTTTTCTTAATGCTTTTACCTGTGTCCTAAAGAGGAAATAATTGTCTTCACCATCTTCTCCCCATTCATTGAGTTTCTCTACATACCGTTTACAGGTAATACAACAATAAATAATTTACATTCTCTGCCCTCAAACAGCTTACACTATTTTAGTGGATTCAGGCCCTCCGACAGTGGTTTTTTTCAGACCAAGATGAACTTGGCACAGGGGATGGAAAAAAAATCCATTCTGGCATAGAAAGAATATACTAGAATTTGAATCAAAAATTTTTTTATCTCATATTTTAAAACTTTTCAGTTTTCATCCGTGTTTTATCACATGCAATATGGGTTGGCTCTGTGTTGTAATCTGTAAGTAAGTATACCTATATGGGTGGCCTATGCTCAGAATACTTTTCTACTGTTAGGGCACAGGACCCTACACGTTTAGAGAGCACTGCCCCAGTGTAAAGCTGCGCTCTGGCACGCTGCGCTCTGGCAGTGTTAGTGTGGCAGGATGTGAAATGTGCTGCAAGAACGCAGTCAGTCATTTGTGGGCTGGGGCTGGGCGAGGGCTGGGCTGCAGGCGGAGAACGGAGGTGGGCTGGGGAGGCGCTGGTGGAGCTGGGCCTTAAAGGGTGAGTAGAAGCTTTCCGGGAAGTGAGAGGCGGTTCATGAAAAGCAGGTGCGACACACTCCAGGTGAGCGTTTTTTGTCGTTGAAAACTTCAGTCAGGTAAATAAGCTTATTTATTGTGATTATTTTATCAAGAATAGTAAATGACTGTTGAGAGTAAAATTATAATGGCTAGTGTACAGGATGGCTTTTCCTGAGATGAATACACTGTGTATGCTGTTCTGAACTGTCCATCCATGGGGAGAGGATTTCATTACCAACTTGACATAAACTTGCGCTCCGTGATTACTCAGTAGCTTCCGTCAACATTTGGGACCTCAGAAGTAACCTTGGATTTGGATTCTTGATTGAAACCCAGTAACCAATTTATTGATAAACCCACACGCTCAGTCATAGGTTTTCAGTATTGTACACTTAAACGTCTGTTAAAAGGGTAGATCTCACCTTAAGTGTTCTCACCATGATAAAAATGTTTTTAAAACCTCATAGGCCTTCTCTGACTACAGTAACAGAAATACTCAAATCTCTGTTGTTTGAAAACTTTTATTTCTCAAAAAGGTGGTTTATACTTTAGCTGTCATCTTAATTATGCTAGTTTCCAATGAAGGATGAGCTGCATCCATGAACTCCACGTGGGCAGGGACACCATTATACCACGCCTGCCGCCAGGGGCGTGAGGAGACCAGCTGCTGGCAGGCACTCCGTGGCCTGGATGAGTGGTCTGAGAAACATGGCGGGAGGAGACCGCTGACACTCAGTCGAGGCTAATTTAGAACAGCTACTTGTAATGGCGCAGAGTGTGTTTCAGATATGTCTGTAATCAGTTATTCCTTGCCGCACTCCAGCTTGCCAATTCTGTAACTCCTTGGGACGTCTTGCTGAGCTTAATTGCAGCTGCCACTCATGATCTGGATCATCCAGGTGTTAATCAACCTTTCCTTATTAAAACTAACCATTACTTGGCAACTTTATACAAGGTTAGTGCAATCTTATCCTCAAAATTTAATATTCTTGCATTCTAGATAGAAAATGTGTCATGTTTAAAGAAGTGAAAGGAGTAAATAAATTCTCAATGAATGTTCAGATTTTAATCAGATTAATATTACTTACAAATAATTCTTTATGTTCAGAAAAAGACTTATCATTTACTCAGATATGCCCTTTTCTTTTTGTAGAATACCTCAGTACTGGAAAATCACCACTGGAGATCTGCAGTGGGTTTATTGAGAGAATCCGGTTTATTCTCACATATGCCATTAGAAAGCAGGTAGGCTGGACTAAGACAAAATTAATTAGTTATGAACTGTAGAAATTAAGTTGCATTGTTTTTCAACCGTATAAAGTTTTTAAAATTATGTTGTTATATTCAGGTGTTTCACAATTTTCGGGTAAATTATCTTATTTTACAAATTTACATCAAAATTTTAATAATTTAAACCTGTTCTGAAATACAGTCAGTAGTAATTTTTTTTTCAGTGAATTTTTATGAAGGATCACTCATAGATACTATAAAATCCACTCCAAATACACAATGGCTCAGTCATGGTTTACTGCTTATTTATGTAAATGGTATTACATATTTCCATTTTATGCTCTTTTGAATAAAACCGTAAGTTCTCGCTGTAAAGGTAAATTGGATAGAAAGTAAACAATCTGTATAAGAAATAGATTCATTAAAATCTGTTCCAGGAAGTTTTCAAAACCGATAAGACGTGAAAAGAATGCTTTGTATCCTCAACAACATAGTCCTAGAGTCACTGCTAGAGTTATAGGATAAAATAATGAATTGAAAGAACAGAAAATACTACATTTTTTTTAGAAAATATCATTTGATGTTGAGCAGGCCACTTGAAAGGCTAATAAAAAGCATTAATGTAAATGAGCCCAATATGATAATGATGGTGGTGGTCAACAAAATCTCATGTCATTGGTCCACACACTGAAGCTTTTAAAGATGCCTCACCAAGAGAAGGTGCACTTAGGAAAACCATGTCAGTGGATATAAACCACCTACTTCTAGAAAAAAGGTGAGACATAAAAATACATTTGGGTATCAAGATTTAAGTTACTGTCATTGTTCTTCCCTTTCTCCCTTTCACAATTTAAAACAACTTCATAAAAAAACAAAAATGTTTTTGGTAATGTCCGTGAGAAAAAAGCTCGACTTTTTATTTTTGTCAGTCTGTATTCGGGGATACCATTTGGAGTTATGACAGTACTTGCGGTAAGTAAAATTGTTTCTTGTCATAGTACAAATATAAAAACTGCTTAAACCACACAGTGTTTGTATATATAAGTTCTCTTTTTCTTGACTAAGGCAAATTAAACTGTTTGCTTCATTATTCCCTTTCTATCATGTTTTGCATTTGATGATTAACCCTGTTGAATTCTCATATTTTAATACAAATAAAAACTGAAAGTAAGGAATACTGCATAATAGCATTCTTTTATGTTTGCTTAGGGTTTGTTTTATTTACCGTTCAATACTGTGAGCCTTTTATTTTTTTATTTTATATTTTTTTGAAGCAAGGAATACAACTTTATTCGGAAAGTCGGCAGACCAAGAAGATGGCGGACTAGGGTCTCCAAAAAACCATCTTCAGAGCCTTTTAATCTATTGACTGCTCTTTAGTGATCATTATACAGAGATAATGTTTGTGATGGCCCATTGAAACAGAAGGAATTTTTAAACATTTCTCTTATTTGACTTGAAACAGTATTTTTTTTTAATACCTTTATTGGCGTATAATTGCTTTACAATGGTGTGTTAGTTTCTGTTGTATAACAGAGTGAATCAGCTGTATGTATACATCTGTTCCCGTATCCCCTCCCTCTTGAGCCTCCCTCCCACCCTCCCTATCCCACTCCTCTAGGTGCACACAAAGTACCGAGCTGATCTCCCTGTGCTATGGGGCTGCTTCCCACTGGCTACCTATTTTACGTTTGGTAGTGTATATATGTCCATGCCACTCTCTCGCTTCGTCCCAGCTTCCCTTTCCCCAGCTGTGTCCTGAAGTCCGTTCTCTATGTCTGCATCTTTATTCCTGCCCTGCCACTAGGTTCATCAGTACAGTTTTTTTAGATTCCATATGCATGCACTAGCATACGGTATTTGTTTTTGAGGCGGTTTTTTAAATGATATAATGTATTTGTTATTTGTATTAACATGTTACCTTTTCCCTTCCAGAAAATCTGGATAATTCTTGAATTTGGCCCTGAAAGTATAGTTGAGTCTAAACTTTATTAAATTGGTGGAACTTCATCAGGTTTCAGTCAGACATCTTCAAAAATCTGCAGAAGTCAGTGAGAATGTGCTGTTCTTCCTCCATCTGACCCTCCCTTCTGCCTCTCAGATCTCAGGCACCAAAAAAGAGTCCAAAGTTGTTCACTGCATCCCAGCCGATCTTACGTAGACTTTCTTAGGCATATAATGCCACCTTTAGGCATTCTTTTTGGAGTGTTTGCATATTGGTATTTTCCTACCAACTCTCTTGGTTTTAGTTTTGATTATTTTAGTAGGTTTTTAAAATGCATTCTTTAAATCCATCTTTTTGGTAGGTTGAAAGTTGAATGGCAGTTAGAATATCTTAGGGCCCTGTAAAGCTTTCTGAGTGTTAAGACTTAAGGAAAAAATAATCAAGAAGTAGCTATTTAGTTGAAAGACTTGTATTTCTCTTTATGTTTCTCTAATTCCAGACAACAGATGGAGGCTCAGATAGGTGCTCTGATCCTGGCCACGGACATCAGCCGGCAGAACGAGTACCTGTCCTTGTTTAGGGCCCATCTGGACAAAGGCGACTTACGTCTGGAAGACATCAGGCATAGGCATTTGGTTTTACAGGTAAAATGATCTTGGAAAGATTCTGTTGCTAGAGCAAATCATATGACTATTAGAAGAAAAATGAAATATTCTCGTGTAGTCTTCTGAGTGGTTAAATCCTGAGGGAAAGCATTTCATTTTAATAAGTTCTCATATCTAAAAAATGAGAGAGAAGTGGCTGATTTCTTTGTAGCTTTCTGGTTAGTGCAGTCCTATGCTTGCCTCTCCAGAATTATCAAGCGTGTATGATTTGCTTAGTAGGCTTTCAGTGTTTCTGCAAAAATGATTGTTACAACTAATAGTATCGTAAAATCAGTATAAAGGATAATGAATTTCCTGTTGCAACGTTTTCTTTTTCTTTTCTAAGGTGTTCTTTTCCCCACTATTAGTGTATGTTAAGCTTAGTAAAACTGAAATTTTACCTTTTTTCTTAAGACAACTTTCATATTTTCCTTTTGCTAGATGGCTTTGAAATGTGCAGATATTTGTAACCCATGTCGGACCTGGGAATTAAGCAAGCAGTGGAGTGAAAAAGTAACAGAGGAGTTCTTCCATCAAGGCAAGTTACAGTATTGAGTGATAACCTATTCAGTTCATTTTTTAGCATCATATGAATAAAATAACTCAGACAATTGCAGAGTCTAGCAGAAGGTGCCTGATGGTTTTAGTGACGATTCACAGTAGATGTACATATAACCAATAATGTACAAATTGAGCATCTGTTTTGAAAATTAGCAGTTCTCTTTTGAAATGATCTGATGTGTGTGTAGGCATTTATGAATTAGACGTGGGGCCGGCTGGAAGGTTTTCTGTACAGAAAGATTTTCCTGCCCTTGCCCCATCCTTGTCTTGTGTGGAGGGCGTGGCCATATGACCATGTAAGACATGTTTTGTGATTTAAAGACAGGAACTGAGGATCTTCGTTCCATGCACCTTCCTTTCAGAAATCTGAGTTTTAAATTAAAATGCTGACAGAATTACAGTCTTGGGATAACACCTAGTAAAAGTTTTCCACCCTCTCCATTTAAAATAGGATGTAGGCTTGGCAGCCTTTTGTATGTATGAATAACTTAAAGTTTAAAAAAGAGCTAATTTAGGGCTTCCCTGGTGGCGCAGTGGTTGAGAGTCCGCCTGCCGATGCGGGGGACGCGGGTTAGTGACCCGGTCCGGGAAGATCCCACATGCCGCGGAGCAGCTGGGCCCGTGAGCCATGGCCGCTGAACCTGCGCATCCGGAGCCTGTGCTCACTTTGCTATAAAGCAGAAACTAACACACCATTGTAAAGCAATTATACCCCAATAAAGATGTTCCAAAAAAAAAAAAAAAAAGAGCTAATTTAGAAGGCATCCTCTCATGAGGATTGTGTTACATTATTCCTAAGGAATTTACAGGTAAGATGAAGACTTTCATTATATATTTAACCAATAGGTATATTCCGCATTAAGAATTCTTTTTTCCATTTCTAGGAGACATAGAGAAAAAGTATCATCTGGGTGTGAGTCCACTTTGTGATCGTCAGACCGAATCTATTGCCAACATCCAGATTGGTAACTATGCATACTTAGATATAAGTGGTTTTTAAAATGCCACTGATTTTAAGTTTGCCAAGAAGAGGGGTACGTCTGAAATATCAGTATTAAAATTATGCTTATTTCTAAATTTTAAATAATTTAAGAAATTTTATTCTGGTTTTTCCTTTTTTTTGGCTTTATAATTTACTCTCATTTGATTTTAGTTCCTAAAAAGCAGAGCAGGTAGCAATAACTTTCTGTTCTAAAATGGAAAGAATGCATCATTTTCCCACATGGGAGCCTCATTGGTGTCATTCTGGGACCACTGGGCCTGACGGTCATGGGAAGACCGGCTTCCACGACTGCCGGCTTTTCTCTCACCGCTGCCTGCTGGTTGAAGCTCACTCTTCAGCACCTCACACAGGCCCCTTGCAACCTGGCCTCCAATTGTCTCTTCCGTCTTCTCCCCAACACCTTCCCCCTCATTTACCTACAGCAACTCGGGATTCCCTGGGGCTCCCCAAATCCCTGGTGCTCCTTCACTCTGTGCCTCGCCAGGCCCCCCATCTGCCTAATAGCCTCCTTTTCCTTGAGGGTCCACCTCAGATGTCACCCCCAGAAGCCACCTTTCACTCTCTCCGGGCAGCCGTCACCCCTCTTGAGGCGCTGGATGCCTGTCGTCACAGCTCCACGGGTGCCGACCTGGCCTTTGGAGGGGTGTGTGTCCCCAAGGCCAGCGCTGCCCCTCGGGGCAGGGTCACTTGAGAACTGCTTGTTGAGTGGACTGTGACGGTAAGAGAAAGCACGATGAAGGGGCTGTGATTCAAGAATGTGCAGCTTGTTGTAGATGAGCCAAGGGAAGATGGGCCAGGTTTGGGGTGTGGTGGGTGGATTGCCAAGTGGTGGTCACTCAGAAGGATATGGAGGGACGGGCGTAATTTTGGTGGCTGATACTGAGCAGGACCTCTCAGGACGCGGTTGACAATAGTGAAGTGTGCCCAGAAACTTTGGAGAGAGAAAGTTTCTAGAAATTCGGAAGGTAGCACAATACTGTGGCATTGCTAATACCCGGAAAAGCGGACTGTGCTGGAGGGTCAGAAATTCAGAAACAGAATTCTAACACTGTACAACAGTTGCAGAGGATCCTCCGGGGGAGGCAGTGGGTAGTAACGATCTGGCTGCAGAGGGAGCAGTAGAGATGCAGGAGAGTGAGGCCCAGGCCTGCGGGGACAGCGCGGGGACACCGAGGCCCCCGGGAGCTGGGACTGGCCAGGAGCGCAGGGGAGGGAGGCGGGAGGGGAGGGGATGAGGGGACAAGAAGCCTGTCTGCTCTGGCCTGGTCCTCAAGGGCATGCATGACCTTCGGATGCGGAAGAGCAGCTGAAATATGGGCAGAGGGGGCTGAGTTGAAGGGCAGGGGGTGGCTTGTGCACACACTCCAGCTTACTTCGTGCCTCAGCACATTACTCCCTTGATTCACGAGAGACATTGCAAATGAGGTTTAAAAACCTGCAATTTTTAAAAGGGACAAGAAGCTAGATCCCTTAAGCCATTCCTGTCGTTTCTGACCTTGTCAGCGTTAGGCAGTTGTGGACCCGGTCACCCGGGGGGCAGGGATAAGGTAGAAGGCGGTGACAGCTGACGTGGGCCGACCCCTCACGGCACCCCTAGGGCACAGGCGCTGCTGCTGTTCTCCACATAGTTTGCCCAGTTTATACAGATAACAGGTGTTGGTCTTTCTGACATCAAATCCTAGGTAAAATGGGGCTTGCAGAGGTCCTCTTCCTAGGGTAAGTCAGGGGACGGTTAGAATGAACTCTGTGCTCAGCAGCAGTTACTCGGAGCCAAGCATATGGTCAGTAGGTAGAAGTCGTGTTTAATTAACACGGTTTTCTTCTTTGGTAGGAACACTAGGTCCTGTCACGTACCGGGTAAGGGTGAGGCATTGACACAGCGCCCTGCGGTATCTGAGGAGAAGAGATAGAGAGGCGCATGGGCTGGGACAGTTAAGGGGGTTCATGGGTGGATGAGCAGCTCACGAGTAGCGTCCTGCCACCTGGCTGTGTCCGCGGCCCTGGCCCGTGCATTGTTATCAGGTACTTAAGACCTAAAAGAATCCTAGGTACCATAGAGCCAGAAGTGAGAGCTGATTTGTTGGATGTGAGAAGCAGGATGAAGCTCTCAACCAGTTGGGACAGTGGGAGAATCAAAGAAGATGGATTGTGTGAAACCTGCGGTAATAAGGTTCTGCATTTGGGTGCAACACTCCGGCTGCTCACGACCTGACTGTGGCACCTGGAAAAGACAGGGCTCTGGCTCAGCCTGACCCGGAGCGGAGGGGGTGGCTTGGCTGCCAGAAGCCGCTCCGCTCTGACTGCAGTGATGCCGTTTTCCCGTGTCCTCTCTCTCCTCACCAGACGTAACTCGTGGAGAGCACATCTTGTCTGTCTGTCTGTCCACTGCTTATCCGTGCCCACCCCAGAGCAGTGCCTGGCATCTAGAAGGTTCTCAGTTAACATGTGTGGAGGGGATGGAAGAGATGAAAGAAAGAAATGGAGGACTTCCCTGGTGGCGCAGTGGTTGAGAATCAGCCTGCCAGTGCAGGGGACACGGGTTCGAGTGCTGGTCCGGGAAGATCCCACATGTCATGGAGCGGCTGGGCCCATGAGCCACAACTTCTGAAGCCCGCATACCATAACTACTGAAGCCCGTGCACCTAGAGCCCGTGCTCCACAACAAGGGAAGCCACCGCAATGAGAAGCCCGTGCACCGCAACGAAGAGTAGCCCCCGCTCACCTCAACTAGAGAAAGCCCACGCGCAGCAACGAAGACCCAACGCAGCCAAAAATAAATAAATTTTTTAAAAAAAGAAATGGAAGAAAGCCTTATTTCCAATATCGTAACTACTACTACAGATACCATAATCTGTACACTTGAAAAAATTCAATCATCAGACCGTATATGACTTTTCTGATTAAAAGTAGTGGGTGCTTTATTTCCAGTGAGACTTCTTTTGTTAGCTAAATGGAACCTGTGTTGTCTGTGGTCCATGTGGTCTTTTGCTGAAAAGAAAAGGTTTTGGAGATGAAGAAAATTTTAAAACTGTTAAACAAGCAGTGATAGAATTTGAATGTACATTTTCCTGTCCAGTGTTATTTGCTTCTCCTAATAGATGTGATCTGATTGTTAAAGTGAGGCTTCTTTCACCCTGTGTAAGACACTGTGTAGTATTAAGTCAGCTGTAATGTGGGTTCGAGTGCTGTGTAACCCAGAGATGCAGACAGGCCCGAGACCACGCCTTCTCCTCTTCTGACTGAATTAAGGGAGATCGACTGTAGGAAGTGTCTGTAAAGTAGGCCCCCTGGTACACTTTTGATGTTCACTTTCCTAATTGTCTAAACTAATCTCCTCTGTTCGTTTTAGACTCACACTTTGTGGCATGCGTTTTGGCTTTATAAATCCTGAGATTCATAGCGGGCCCACCGTGCTCATGACCAGGTGTGACGATTGCCAGCCCGGACCGTAGGGCAGCTGCGCCTCAGTCCGGCCTCGTCACCCGCAGCCCCGGGGGGACCCCCATAGCCTTGGGCACACTGTGCCCTGCTCCTCAGGGTTGAGAGGGCCACCGCGGGTTTGCTGAAATAGAAGGATATGGTTGGTGCAGCTGAGAGGAGTCGTCAGAAGAGATGGGCTGTGTTTGTCAGTTCACCTTTACTTCAGGTTTCAGTTAAGTTACCTAAATAGATTCTTCAGAGAAGATAAGTAAATCTACACACACATCTTTTGAAAAATAAGAGGTAATATTGGAGTAGGACTTAAGAGAGTAAACACTATCTCGACGTTGTAAAGTTGCAGAACATCCACTAACACCTTTTCTCTTACTGTCTCAGGTTTTATGACGTATCTCGTGGAGCCTCTGTTCACAGAATGGGCCCGGTTCTCCAACACCAGGCTGTCCCAGACAATGCTCGGACACGTGGGGCTGAACAAAGCCAGCTGGAAGGGACTGCAGCGAGAACAGTCCAGCAGCGAGGACGCTGATGCTGCATTTGAGGAGCTGAACTCACAGTTATTACCTCAGGAGAACCGGTTATCCTAACCGCCCCCCCGGCCCCCCCCCCCTGCCAAGTCAGTGGGCAGACTGCCTCTGGAGCTCGTTAGAAATGTGAATGGGGTCTTGAGGTGAGAGAACTTTACTCTTGACTGCCGAGGGAAGTGAATGACGCCAGCATTATTTATTTCCAGGATTTCCTCTGTTGGATCATTTGAACCCACTTTTTAATTATAAGACCCGAACATACAGCAATATGCATTTGGCTTTCGTGTGAAACCTTGAATATGCAAAGCCCAGCGGGAGCAAACCGAAGGGAATAACAAAGTTTTGCAGGAAGTTTTGCGGTGGCCCTCGTGCTTCTCGAAGCATCATGAAACTTGAACCGAAGCCTTCAGCAGAAATCTTTGGAATTTAACCCGTCTGATGCAACAGTGTGTATCTGTACCTTCCACTAAGTTCTCTCGGAGAAAATGGAAATGTGAAGTGCCCAGCCTCTGCGCCTCTGGCCAGACTCGATGTTTACACACCAACTCTGAAATACTGGTTCTCAATCCGCCTTGGAGCACGATTTTGAAGGAACCACTAAGAATTTTAAAGATCAGACCTAAACTGCAGCTCTTTCCCCCGGTTTGCCTTTCTTCTTCTTTGGATGCCACCAAAGCCTCCCATTTGCTATCCTTTTATTTTGTGCACTGGAAACTGAGCATTTATCCTAGAGTGCCGCCGAGCTTTCACTCCAGTGCTGTTTGGCAATGCAATTTTTTTTAACTCTTAGTTTTTAATTTGGGGCGGGAGGGGCAGAACCCCAGTGTCCTAGCTGTATTATGATTCCGCAGTGAAGACGTTGCATGTTGTTTTCACTAATGTACACTTGACCTGCACATGCAAGAAAAGGGTGGAATGTTTTAAAACACCATAATCAGCTCAGGGTATTGCCAATCTGAAATAAAGTGGGATGGGCAAGTGTGTCCTTCAGAGCAAGGGTACTAAAGTCCCTCTCGCTGCAGGGAGTGAGAGGTATGTTGTGTGTGTGCGGATGTGTGTGTGGGGCACGCTCCTGCATGTGTGACTGTGCATGTGTTCTATTTATCCAGGTGGGAAGGATTGGGAACGTCAGCTTATATTTATTATTTTAGAATGTGACATAATGAGCAGCCACACGTGGGGAGGGGAAGGGAGGTCAGCTGTGACAGATCGCTCCAGATGCCTTAAACTATGCACAAAGCTAAGTGACCAAACTTCTTGTTTTGATTTGAAAAAAAGTGCATTGTTTTCTTGTCCCTCCCCCTTTGATGAAACGTTACCCTTTGATGGGCCTTTTGATGTGAACAGATGTTTTCTAGGACAAAATCTAAGGACTAATTTTAAACTTACAACATTCCACTTTTGTAATTTGTTTTAAAATGTTTTATGTGTAGTAAGCACAACTGTAATCTAGTTTTAAGAGAAACCGGTGCTTTCTTTTAGTTCAATTGTATTTCCCTTGTTACTGTAAAGGACTGTTTATTATGTTTACAAGTTTGTTGCAACAGTCATTTTCTTGGGAGAAAGCTTGAGTGTAAAGCCATTTGTAAAAGGCTTTGCCATACTCATTTTAATACGTGCCTGTTGCTGTTAACTTTTGACGAATAAAAACCTATCTTTTCACATTTTCATCTTTGACATTTACCTGTAAGTCAGTCCGTTGGAAACCACGACGCTAAATTACTAGGGAAGCAAAGAATAATTCGCTTCTCGGCTCCGGCATTCGCTCGCCACACGTTTGTTCAGGCAGAGCTGGGCGCAGGCAGAGTCCTGCGGGCTCCTGTGCTGCCTGCACCTCACGGGTGAGCAAGCTGAGCCCGGGATGTAGTGGACAGAGTCCTAACAGCCGGGAGAAGTCGGCTCTGAGCCCAGCCTCTCGACTCCACAGCCCTTTGTTCCCACGGCGGGAACCTCAGGCCTTCGCGCAGGTACTAAAATACTACTCGTATTGGCCTTTTAAAAGTCAAGTAATAAGAAATGGCCACTTAATACTACTTTTGGTATGAGCGTAAGAAAGGTACCACTGGGCCTCTCCTGGATCCTCCCAAGCCCATTTCATTAGAAGGGATACGTGTAAAAACTTTGAACTCAAACATAGTCATTATTTGCATAGAAGAGTGATGTCAGATAGAAATACAGTGTGAGCCGAGTCAGTGATCGTCAGTTTCCAAGGAGTCACATTTTAAAGAAAGGAAAAAGAAACAGCTGGAATTAATTTTAATAATATTTATTCCAACATATCCAAAATATTTTATCATTTCAATATGTAGTCATTATAAAAAACGATTGAGATGTTTTACGTTCTTTTTTCTGTTACAAAGTCTTTGAAATCTGGCATGTATTTTATGCTTACAGCACGTCTCGGTTCGGACCAGCCATGTTTCAGGTGCCCGGTCTCCACATGTGGCTCGTGGCCGCCACACTGGACAGCTGGGTGCAGAAGTCTGATGGTGGAGCTGAGGGCTATGTGGGGAAGGTCAGTTGGCCACTTATACGAGGAGTATCATCTTGGCAAATATGATGCATCCAGTGTCTGATAAGGAAACTTGCCAGCTCACACACCTAAGCATGTCAGCACATGGAAAGTAGAACTGTATCTCACAGCGAACTCACATTAACCAATTTCACAGAAACTGATAGTTTTTTTAAGTGTTAATAGTTTAATTTACAGTAAGAAATATAACTATCAGTCGTTCTCTCCCTTTAGGCAAACGTTCTCGGGAAGCCAAATGACGATCAGCCAGTTGCTTGAGCATGCATTCTGAGCAAGGGAAGCAAGTCGCCTCACGCAACCTGCAGGGACGTGCCTGCTGCTACTCGTTTGTGGACCACGGTTCCCCTGAACGAGGCTACAGATTCTCTGCCAGGAGCTGCTCCTCCACGCCTGCTTGATTGGCACATCCAGCAGACATGTCAGACCTTCAGCCTTGCATCAGTTGAGCCTGCCTGGGCTCCATCTGCCAGTGTACGATTGCTTTCTTCTTCTCTGACCTGTTACATGTTTCTCACTGTTGGATATTCAGAGGATTATCTTCTTATTGCCATTCTCAAGGGGGAGACACCTGAGCGTTGCTCCCATCTCCTGCCTACACATAAAATAAACCCACTGCAAAGATATGTTTTGTTACATGTATGTGGCTTCTTCAGCAG